ATGCGCGGACTTAACTTTATGCAAAAAACGGATGACCAAGTGCCGACATAAGTATGCATCCTATGTGTAACAATAGGACGAAATGATAGGATAGACAGAGAGCGAGAGAGAGAGAGAAAATACATAGGGCAAGTACCCATTTATGACGTACACATATGGTGTGCAAAGTTTAAGTTTTTCCCCTTTTGATGATGAAGACCTGTTCGGCAAGTATTCCATTGTGAAATTTTCTTCAGTCCTTCAAAAACGCACCTCTTCTGCAGAGAGTTAATGATGGCCCGTGATGATGAAACCCACTGCGTTATTTGGAGTGATCTTCAATTTTTCGCTTTTTCAGTACTGCTCGCGCTAGTTGACCCGGATGCTGTGACACTTGGGTGTCTTGCCAATTCCCAGTATCGAACAGTAGGAAAAATGTTGTTTCCCGATGACGTTGAAATTTAGATATGGCACTGTGTTCTACGAAAGCTAACAGCACTCCTGTGGCGCAGCTCACTGCGAGTACATAAAGAACTGACTTTGACGCTTGCCGCCGTACAGCTGGACCAGACTCGTGGGCAATTTTACATAGTTTAATAATCCGTGCCGATGTATGTTCTGTGCGATCTTTTTCTGAAATCTGGGTTCTTTTTCTTTGCCGCAGATCTTACCTGTCGTAATACCTGGAAAAGTTAAGTGGCAACGAAATTTATTGTCACGACCTACCGTTTAATTCAGGAAAGATATGCCTCAAAAATTATTAGGGAATACTATCATCCCTTTCAAGGCAAAACCGGTTTAAATACGCACATAAGGTCCACAGTGAAGAAGTTTTGTACAGAGAACATTAACGTGGATGACTATCAGCAAATTTCGACGTGCTGCTCGTAAATTACAGGAGTTCTTCGCGACCCGACAGTGTGAATATTGAGGATTGTTGATAGGGTTGGAATTTAAATGGAGTGTTGTGCATTGCAAATGCTCGGACCACGTGGTCCATCTCTTACACCGTTTGAATACGTACTGCCAGTTGCGGAACGTAATGCGTTGCAAGCCAAAGTCGTTACCTAAGCTGCCACCTCAGGTGGAATACAACTTTCAATAAAGGTTAAAATGCGGAGAGAAGGAGGCAGCTGAGATGAAGGAGAAACTTTAATTTTCGGACGCCTAAGATTCGCATTCGACCCAATAATTACAAACAGAAACACAAAACTGCGATGAAATTCCCTCCGAAACTCCTGCGAATCTAAATAAAATTTCTGTTTTAGAAATCGCAACTTCTTCCTCCTCGACATCATCATCCCCAATATTGACATCATGCCAGAGTAAGACAGTCGTAACCAAGCGAAAACATAACGGGTTGTCACGACTGTGAGTGCATGGCTAATAGTCCACTTATTCACGAACAACGTACCAGGATCATAGTCTGGACCACCATAAAGATCAAAACACACTTTACCATACCCTTCCTGCTGAGGAAACTGAGAATCTGAATCTTTATAAGAATATTTGTGCCGAACCCTAGCATTCGCAGAAGAATAATATTTATTAACTCCCAACATGGGAGGCAACAACACACACGACCTTTTCATGATTTGCTATATTGACAACACAGACACTTACTAAAAGCCCAGATACGTGTGTCAACGATTCATGTCTCGCAGCATGACACTGGGAGAAAATCGTGCCTCGGCTCTTAGTTATAACATGTGCTGTCAGTATGGTTAATCATGCAACACCGTGTACCGTGAAATGCCTGTTTACGGTTTATAAATAGTACATGATTAATCAACTCAAAAGTATGGATGTCAACGCACATATTCACATCAGCCTTCGAACTAAGTCGGACAAGATTTGTCTCGAAGCACTTACTTCAAGTCACCTCTGGATATGTGAGGGGATTCCAAAACTTTTCAACTTTTCAGCAAGTGCCTTAACCCACTAGATTAATGACAGCGTCAATGCTTGAATTCATTTCTACATCTCCCCCAGGCTGCAGGCCAGATTAGAGTAAACCTCATGGGTAGCCAATTTATAAGCAAAAATCAGGCTCAAGCGGCTTATTCAACTATCATTCACGCCCATCCGAATTTGCACTTTCCTTCGAGATACAGGATAAGCAGGTAAACGGTTAGGCCAGTACATGATACATCCACTTCAAGCCCTGCCCTGTCACTTCTAGTGGACAGCAGTGGCGGGCCCCGACTTACCTCCAGTGAGTCGGTGAACCCACCAGATATGATGTTGGAGATATTAGTCAGGAGTATTGTTGCTGTTGGGAGGAGAAATACTTCTCTCGGTACCACTACACCTCTCTCAAATTCAGCCGCCACCAGCGCACCATGACCCATGGTGATCGAAAAGTTATGCTGGGTAGTTGTCCAGGGCGGTCTGTTGACGCTATGGCTTTCTTTAGCGTCTACGTTTTAGTGTGGACACCTCCACCGACCACTCTCCGGCAGCGATTTTCTGTTTCACGGCAGTTTTGACGTCCTTCTGGATGACGGGTGACATTCGCCATGTCGTCAACTTTTTTAAAGCGTAAGAAGCCTTTATAGGTAACTGACATGCCTTCTGGGTGCATGGCCAGCACCGATTATGCGAGGCTTATTGTCGTTCTCCACAATCTGCAACTAACCCGCACCGCAGACTTTGGCAGCATCTGCCTAACTTTCTCTTAACATACAATTTACTCCCAATCCTACGATAAGCTCATTATTAGTGGATACTGACGCCCTCTACCCATCTTTGATATGTTTGCCTACAATACTAAGAAGCCGTGCGAAACCGGGCGCTTCAAATGACAAATATGCCCGAGCAGATTTGTTGAATTCTTCCATATGAAACACAAAACGCAACAGTAATGGTTAGACTCAATTTACATTAATAGAATACAGGGAGGATTTAAGTGATTTGGACGTTGAATGTGTGCGTGCTTAAAAGCTTAATCACGCGGAGACCAAAGAGCACATGAGGGAGGGTCCGTTTGCTTTTTTACTCCATCACTGGTGAGTATAGATGTTAATTGTCCCATCATTCGGAAGCTTTTAAGTCAACTGAAGTAGTGGGTGGTGTCTGACTGGTAAGCCATAACCATTTTTAATTGCAACCGTTTTTGACTTCTGCAGCAATCGGCTGTCGGTTGACCGCGCTTTGCTACGAATTTATTTTAACCTTCAAATTAAACAAGATACGGCTACCAGAAAGTGCTGTCTCAACAATCTTATAGTTTGTGGGGTTGTTGCAACAACCTGCCAAATCGTCTGAATGCGTCTGATAGTGAGGCCTTGTTGATTATCCTTACCGCACAATGTCAGTTGACTGAGCTCACAACTTTCCCTATGAAGGCGTGGGTAGTTTGCAGTCGCCTTCATTGGCCCTAGACCGATCAGCCGTCATACTCTTCGGCCTTGGTCTAGCAGGAGTCCAATGTGCCGAGGAGGAGCGAGGAGTGCACCCATGCCGTAGACCAGACAGCTGGTTAGACCTGGAGGCAGCAGAGAAGCACCTGAGCGAGATGATGAACCTGCAGACGTGTGAGCATAAACAACGCATTTCGCGCGCATGACCCACCGTCTCCTCTCCTGTCGGCAACGCGTGGGAGTTGGAAATACACTTTAAGATCATATGTCAGTCAGATGGACCCACAGTGTGTTAGACGCCAGAGGGTGAGGCACTGTTACCAAAGTGCGTGCTCTCCCCTTTCGGATCCTGTAGCTCACTACTGGCAACTACTGACGTCGCCTGCCCTGGTGCGACTGTGTGGGGTTAAATGGCGGATCGTGCTAATAACAACAGGCTCATCAAACACCATCTTCAACCCGCAATACTGTCTGCCCCTCCAAAGACACTCTGGCCTCAATCACCGCATTGGTCACGTGGAACGACAAAGTGACTAATCAACCGGTCACGCTGAGTGACAGTCAGCGAGGAGATAAGGCCAAATTGAAATCGAGCAAACCCTGTCGAGCCCGGGAGATGCAAAGGGGGGGGGTTAAAAAACAGCCAATTAGAGTAAAGACAGAGCAGACAGCTGGAGGCACCAGAGAAGCACCGGATGCAGACGTGTGAGCATAAACAACATACTTCGTACATGACTCACCGACTTCTCGCCTGTCGGCAACGCGTGCGAGTTGAAAATACTCCTTTAGATCATAGGCCAGAAAAAATCTCACAATGGGTTCAACGTAGGACTGTGAGGCACTGCTAACAAAGTGCGTACTCTCGCTTTTCGGATCCTGTAGCCCAGATCATTAACCCACTACTGGCGACCACTGACGCTGCTTGCCCAGGCGTGACTGAGTGGGAGTCAAATGGCGGGTCATCGTAATAAAAAAATCACGTTAAACACCCTATTCGTTTACCGATACTCCCCGTTCCTCCAATACCACTCCGACCTCAATCATCACGCCGGTCGGCTCATTTTCTCAAACTACCGTAATACAGAAAACTGAAAATTCATTATTTGACGGAGTCTAACCCTCACAGTGACAGTCAATGTAGGAGATAGATGTAATTTGAAAACGGACAAAATCGGTCAAACAGGGAAATTGCAAAGACTGGGGGTTAACATAGACAGTCAATTAACTTTTTGAAGTAAACTGAAAAGCACAAAAACTACAAGAGATGACCAGAAGGATTTTGTATTGTATAGCACATTCTAAATCGTGTGCGGGACAGACTAACGCACGCTTCAGAAGTGGGTGTAAACCATCCGTTTTCGGAGGCCGCCTCTTTCTTTTTTTCTGTAATTTGTAAATGCTGGAAGCCAAATTTGTGTTCTTCACTTCCGACGCGGACCGCTTCCACATGTCAAGAACGTTTCGGAAGCTGTTGGCCGCCTTCTCGCACCGCTTGGGGTTGGAGTTGCACACAGGCCGGAGGCAACCATCAGGCGTCAACTGATGAAAACAAAAGACTCACTGTCACGGCAAGAAACGTCTGGAGTCGTTTATCGGATCTGGTGCAGTTGCGAACAAATCAACTACGTCGGAGAAACCGGAAGACAACTCCAAACGCGAATGGCCGAACAGGCTGCTGCGGTGCAGAGAAATGAAGCCAGCTCTCAAGTTGCGACTCATTCGACGGGTTCGGGCCCCACATTCAAGCTTGACGAGGCCGAAATTCTCGCAAGAGGTGACAACCGCGTGAGTCGGGAGCTGCTTGAGTCATGGTTTACTGGCCCCCAGTCTATCAACAAGTGCAATGATCCTCCCATTCAATACACCGTGCTGAGACTTCGTCTAGCCGGAGTAATTGGCCACGCGGGGAGCGCATTGGTGAATATTCTTCCCAACACACGGGTCAGCGCGTCAGATGGTCGAGCAATTATCACTCCAAAATCCAACGAACGTGATGAAATTGCAGCAATTAAAGACGCGAATGTCGGCCATCACGCCACGTGCAACGACCCCTGATGAAGGGGAGGGAGCCGTGAATATTCAAAGGTATGCGGTAGCATGGCTACTGCATCCTATAAATACTGCAGCCGCATGTGCATGGCCCACCCTTATCTGCTTATGTCTCTGATGATGGATTCGAGCAGGACCCGAAACGTCAGGCTAATAAAGCTCTTGTCCCGGCGATCGTGTCTTCTTCTTCTTCTTCTTCCTCTTCTTCTTCTTCTTCTTCTTCTTCTTCTTCTTCGTCTTCTTCTTCTTTAAGACTGCTTTCTGGGACTCTTCTCTTCGCTTCTATTAAATAACATCATCCAACTTTGGTCAGCCCCATGATTGCGCGACCTGGTGTTTGAACCCGCCTTTCCGGGCTATGGACCGTTAGCGATCCAAGATGCCAACCATTGAGTCAGGGGCTCGTCGTCCTGTGGCTTGAGACTGGGAATATTACTAACTGTAGTCGACAGAACAAGGAGTTCGTTGTTCAATCGTTGGCGCTTCGGATAGCTAACTCCTGAAGACCAAATAAAGCGGCTCGAGCAACAGGTACCGCAAACGCGGGACTGAGTGTGGATGGCTGATGCAAGTTGATAGTCAGAAATGGCCATTCCGGTTTTCCTTTCCATGTAGCAGATGACCAATCTGCATTCACATTTCTTGGGACGTCCATATTTCTATGAACAGATACAAATTTATTCGCAGCAGCTGAGGCAGTGTGCTTTCCGTGAGGACGAAATGAAGATAGAAAGCTCGTAGTAAAAAATCGAGTTGTACTCGTGAATTTTCCACCTGGGGACATCAACCCGTCGTCAGACGAAAAAAACAGGGGATAAAGTGAAATCGTCAGAATAAATAAGTTGGCAAAACAGGACAGCCACTGACAGACAAGCAATTAGTGTGTGAAAGGGGAAGGTAACCAATGTTGTCTAACCACTTCACTTTCTCCTCTGTTTATTTCGTCTGACGACGGGTTGGTATCACCAGCTCGAAAATTCACGAGTACAGCTCGAGGTTTCCGACGAGTCTTATATTTTCATCATGCTATCTCGGATTGCACATTACCTCAGGTCGTATACATCTATATAGCAGGAAAACACCCTATCACTCTAATGATGGAAACAGGGAAGCATCCGAAACGTCAGAACCAATACAGTGTGCTCCATAGAATCGCCTCTTTTTCTTTTTCGACTTCCTTTGGGGATGATGAACGGAATAATATATGTATGCATTTGTCGGTAATATCATTCTGTCCATATCATTGCCGTTGGCATCCCAAGAAATATAATTTGGAGGCAAATACATTCTTTGGGAAAATTCTAAAAGTTTATTAAGTAAATTTTCGACGCTGGTTCCCCAGGTCGTTTTCAGACTTGAGCAAGTGTACAAAAAACAATCGACATTTCAAACGTACTAAAAATTCGATATTCATTTGGCGTTTGCGATACTAAGCGGTCACCGTATGCATCATTCGGTATTGATTGGCTCGCTTGTTTTCCACTTTCCCTGATCCTTTTGAACTCAATGTGTCGATTGATGCATGATTCATCGGAGTGCATGGCTTCGAGGAACTCGGTCTTTTTAGAGGGGCAAACTCCGACGAAGTCGTTTATAAGATCCCATGTTACACCTGTGATGCTGTGTATTGTGACCAAACTGGGAAATCTGCCTCTACTCGCATACATGAGCATCAGTTCGTGGTAAGGAGACGAGATCATCAATTGCAGGTGGCCATGAACACACTGGACTCTGTACACAAAGTCGCATGGGAGAACACTCACATTTTTGGTCCCTGCCCAATTAGGAAAGGTCGCGAATTCCTGGAAACAATCCACTCAGATGAGGCATGCATCAATCGGCATATCGATTTAGATGTCACACACAAATTTCTCAAGGACAAATGGAAGCGAGCGCAGCCAGTGCCGAGGGGATGAAGAAAAACCATCGAAGCGCATTGGCGCAGACTTCGGCCAACCATAGACTCACTTGTTAGACACGGTTAAATACTTAACTGTTCTTGTCGGCTCATATCAGGTATTTGTTCACACATATGAATTTAATTTGCTTCGGGAAGCCGATGGATCGGTGTGCGCCTATTCCGGAGTGAATGAATACCCTATCTGCAGCGACAGAGAATGACAGGTGGGGATACATTTCGCACTTGAAACTGGGCACAAATTTGCATGTATATATAAAATGAAAACCAGACATGCCGAGGAAATTAATTAGGACGAGGAAATTCTTTGGTGATCTTTGCACTTTATTGCGTACTGTATGTATATACACATGCATTGAGAAAAAGACGGCCCGATAAAGCGACGGGCAACTGTGATCGCCATTTCGCGCTTGTTATCCGTCTTTAGTCAGCCTTACCGAAACCCAAGTTTTGACGTAACTGGGTCTCTAACCCTTATTCCTTGGAAACTATGCCCTCCAACGCTCAACTAAGTGAGGCATGGGGACGTTTTCCTGTCGGTTGCGGTGGAGACTATTAACTCCCGCTAGAAGTGCCTTCGTCAATTGGATTACGGGACAAACTCGAGCCGGTTTCTCTTGAGATTCGATGTAGCGCCCTTGCAGACAGTCGCATAGCGGCTAGGAATAGATGATCAGAGAAGTCTCGACAACGACAAGGGAGACTGGAAGGAATTTTGACAAGGATGGCTGACGGCGTCTTATGAGACAGAAATAATCATCCCAGTCTTCTCTTACATAGTAGACGCTCCCGTTCTGCATCTATTTCTTGTCGTTCAACTCCAAGGCACAACGGAAGGAGCATGTCCCGTGGTCCGTTTAAAGACCGCTATTGTAACGTATATATATACATATTTTTATATACTTTTTCTATGTCAACCTCCACCCTTGTTTGCCATATTTTCCTTTTACTATCATATTTACGTTCTTGCCAATGTACTTGCAGATAGAGGAAGTACTTGCCCTCGTGCTCCAATATTAAAACCGTGAATGCTCGATTCCATCCATTGCTGTGGTACGTCGTGAAATATCTGCAGAAAGGTGTTAACCTCGACCGATTTCAAGGGTATTCAGTAATTTTTGCGGCAGAAAATTAAGCCAGCATTCAGACGCATAGGTGTCGAGTGGACGAATATCGAGAGACGTTCATTTAGACTCCAGTAAGTACGGCTTCTCGCCTACGCGGCCTTTATACAAATTATCATAGTTATATCCGGAGTGTCATTTGGGTTGTGTCCTTGATCTCTGGCACCTACGTAGTGTTTGTTTGTTTTAAGAAGTCAAATAATCGGTAGGCGATCATGCCTACAGGTGTTCGGTGTCTTGCTTGAGTACATTTCGAGTTCGCCGGTGTGCGCTGTGCTGTGAACGTCTCGGGTGCTAAGTGCCAGGTCGTCTGGTAACTCTAGCACAACAAAGTCCCTGTTTACCTCTAATTCAATGGGACCTTGACCAGAACGAATGCTCGGATCTGCAACAAATAGAATATGCAGAACCTCGTCAGGTGTCTTCAAAGACAGGTTAAAATGCATGTTTTACGTGTAGTTAAATACACATTTACTGCTTGAACTGTTTGAAGAAGTTCACATTTGTGATACGTCAGGGGGGTGTATGTCTTTCCTCTGTCAGACTTCAATTTAAACGAGAAACAATGGCCTCCAGCAAAGTCAGAATACTGTTTTGGCACAGAGAAACAGTCACTCAGCGTACAGTCAGGAGCACTAAAAGCTGCACTTGGCAGGCATATCTTACAAAAATTTTCTAGTATGCTTACAACGTCAACGACCTAATCGAAGTGTCTCACCGTAACAACCTATCACTGAAATTTGTGGCAAAGTGACCATGACTGAAATTCCACCAGGAGGTTCGAATCCCCACAACTTTGACAAATAGCCTCAGACATTAGTAGCGACCTTCAGCAATCTATTGCAATGCTGTCTGTGCTGGTATTGGAAAGTCGTCAGGTAGTAAGATCTGTTTAACTCTTGATTCTGAAATCAGACACGGATAGATGACATGTTTCGAGCTAAGGCCAATAGACGAGACGGATCAATATCGTCATTCTGGTGGATACCCTTCTCCATGCTGCCACAATTTTTTACTTAAACAGTCTTGGTAAGAATAAGTAGACTCCCTTTCCAGTTAGCAAAATCTACTGCGCACACATCGACTAGATCTTCTTCCTTCCTTTGGATAACTGGGAAAACCTACTCGCGTCTACCCATTGCGAAATTTGAAAGTGGTTTCAAGCGTCAAAATTGAACTGTCACGCAGAGGACGCTGTCAAACACCTTGTCGTATGGCAATATCGATTGAACACAGTAATACGGACTGTCTGGTATCACGGATGGCTCTGCCCCAAATTCCATGGAGAGGTAGAGTTAGAGACAGTGTAGGGATTAGATCTAGTCTTAGGGTTAGGGAGGTTACTCTTGGCATTATAAGGTCACAATTGGGCTTGGGATTAGGACAGTTAGGGTAGGTGCCAGCATCAAAAGTAGGACGCGGGAATAGGGTTGTTTGGAATTTAGCATGAGGCCACCTGTGACGTTGGGGAGCGGGCAATTCGTAGTCCCATGTCCGATCGCGAAATTTAAGCCCGCATTGCTGCCTGGAAAAGTAACTACCGGTTACTTCCTTTGACGCTTCAGTCAAAATCTGGTCGCATTTAGCCGAACCTTTAGAGTACGTTCTGAGACTAACTCAGTGGTGCTTATCTGCGAAGCCAATCCTGCGGTGACGATAGCCCCAATTAAGACTAGACAGCAAAAAATGTGAGACTACGCGTGCCTTAACCGATGAATGCCCCCAGGAACTTGCATGCTGCGACGTGAATTCTAACGACAGGTTTCCGAAGGCACTCTAAACTACTGCAACCCCGTCGGCCTCATGGACAAAATGCGGCGAACTTGTCCCACACTAAAAGCCGATTACCTAACGACCGTCCCATGCTCTTCATTATTGCTTGTCGTCGAAATTGCTCATCTTAGTTTCCTTTATCTACACGGGAACGACTTTTGTGGCAGCCAGCGGTGAAATTCTCTGCGTCC